TGTTTGTGGCAGGCTCTCCTGGGAGCAGGAAATAGCTGACTTGAGGGTGGAAATGGAAACGCTCTGCAGACAGGCAGAGCAAGCCAGTCAGACTGTTCTTCAGGATGAGGTAACTCCTGCACCTTCACAGCATGTGTCTTGTAGAAAACTCACAGATAGTGTAATGAATCGTGTATGTTATTGTCTGACTGTGTATTTGTCCATGTGTCTGTGTGAGCAGATAGCTGCACTTGAGATGCAGAAAGAGCTTGCGCTTTCTCAAGTGGAGGACTGGATCGTAGATGCGGAAAAATATCTTAATTTTCTCAGGTACTGTGTGTGAATTAATGTTTGTTGACGGTATGCACATGCAGTATGTCCGCATGCATGAAGCTGATGTGATTCCTTAAGGATTTGTGCTTATTCTTGACAGATTAAATCCTTCCCAGCAGCACCTGCACCAGCAGCAGAAGTGGGAGCACAATGTAGCAATTGTCCGCAGCAGTCTGGTAGGACTAAAGGTGAGGGGAGGAGCTGGCTGTACCAGTGGGTTACAGGTGAAGGGAGTTTGCAGCTTCTCTCACTCAGTCTTTCGGTTTTTCTTTCATAGAATAAGTTTAATGAAAACCATCAACTCCTGCAGAGAGGTGAACAGTTGGACAGTTTGCCCTCAGTCCCGCTCCCATTACTTCCAGCAGTGCCTACAGTGAGTGTCAATTTATTCATATACGGCCTAGGGCTGGAGGTACACTACCGTTCAAAGTTTGGGGTTTGTAAGACTTTCAGTCTTCAGTGATTTGGTGCTCAAGAAACGTTTCTGATTATCATCAATGTTGAAACAGTTGTTGAATGCATTTTCCCCCCAGGATTCTTTGATGAATAGAAAGCTCAAACGAACATCATTTATTTGAAATCGAAATCTTTTGTAACTATTATTCTTACAAATCTTGTCATTTTGATCAAACTAATGCATCCTTGCTGAATTGAAGTATTAATTTCTTACAAAAATAATCATACTAAATCCAAACTTTTAAACGGTGCTACTGTTTTATGCCATATACCGTGTTATTGTAGAATTGATAATCTGGTAGAGTGGCTGTTTTAGCACTGTTCGAATATCGCTCATCCAGAGTCATATTTATATTTATAATATGTTTTGTGAATCTAATTTGAGACTATCAATTCACATTTGCATCAGTTAAGTTAAAATTAAAAGTCCTAATTAAAAGTACTTTATCTTTTTATTTGTAAAATTTACTTATTTATTAAAAATAAGCATTTCTATATGCTGGCACATCATCTTATATAAACTGCATGTTCCCTAGAGTTGCTGCTCAGGACAGAATACAGAGTTCAATTGTTTTGTAATTATTTTGCAAAGTTTAAACTAATGTAAGTAATGTATATTTTTGTGTTTGTCATTTATCTTTGGCTTTCCGAAGTTGGAGATGATAATCAGTCCACTTCAGAATCCTGCTTCTCATCCCATTTTCAATAGTGGTCCACCAACTACCACAAATTCTCCCCCCATAGTTCATCCCCAATTCCACCCCTCGGTCACACCACCACAAAGAGCCACACCGCCACTTTCAGCCCCTTCTCCTCAAAACACACCATATGTACCCGTCACTATAGGTCCACAATCTCCTCACGTCCCAAACATGTATGTCCCTATGACAACTCATGCAGCCCCTCAAATACCCATGCACACCATCTGCCGGCCTCAAATGTCATCCCATGCTCCTGTCACGCCAGACCCACATATCCTTCCACAGACACACGTAGGCGGTCCAGGTGTCTCCCTGGCACCCTCAGTTGCTTCAGCAGGCACCTTTGCTTTATTACCAAATAATCATGGAGGCAGTTTTCATCCCCAAGCTGCAGTGCGCCTTCCCCAAACGTTCATGCAAACCATGTCTACACGTAACTCCCCCCCCCAGCCCCTCCCCTCCAATCCTGCACCGGCAGGCAAACTGGACAAGCTTCTGGAGAGACTGGGCTCACATTTCCCACAATGCACAAGGTATTGAGATTATACACTGTAATATAAGCTTGTTTACATTTTTAGCAGCCAATATAATTAGTAGAGTTTTTGTCTTTTTGTTGATTCTGAAATTGTCAGAGTAAGGATCACTTTCTGAAAGTGACCTCTCTGTTTCTGTCTGTATTAGAGATCAGTTAACACGTGTTCTACAGCAAATCAAGAGTGAGCGTGGTACTATGGCTGGCATGTCGATGGATGATTTAACTCAGCAGGTTGCGCTGAGACTTGCGCAGAACCAAAGACCGGTGCGACAGTACACTCCTCTCACTCTTCCTCGTTATGTTTTTGTTACTTTCCTTCTGTGTATTGCTTATTTCATTTTTAACTTTATCACTGTCCTTTTAGCCACCAGGACCTATAGCACCTCCGTCTGGAGCTAGAGCCTTTCCTGCTTCAGTTGGTCCGATCCAGCGTCCCATAACCCAGCCACCACATCCCATGCGGCCTCATTTCCGTCCCCCAGTTGCTCAGGTTTTCCACACAAGACCCCCACAGGTAGAATCCAACTTTAAACCCCTTTTCTTTAAACACATTTAACAAAATAATCAGGACTAATCAGGAGAGAGTCGGGTAAGCTGTGCCATATTTTGCTGAAGTTGTGAGTAGTAAGGAGGAATGATACAAAAAAAAATAATAATAATATGCCTACTTCAGGATGCTATCAGCTAAAATAAGAAAGCAGAGTCATAAAAATTAAATAAATAAAAAAGTGAGACAAATTTCCCTGTTATATGTGGATGTTTTTGCATTTCAAATAAAAATATTAAAGGGTTAGGTCACCCAAAAACCAATTTTTTGTCATTAAAGGAGAACTCCGGCGCAAAATGAACCTTTGGTCTAATTACACATTGTTACCTAGTCAACCGTTATCTGAGATTTGTTTTCATGATTATCGAATGTAAATAGTTTTATCTCTAAAAACAGTTTAGCCTATAAAGCTTGTATAACGCTAGTATATTGGGCATAGAGAAATGACAAATAAAAATCGCTTGTTAATACCACTAACAAGGCTCAAAATAGCCCCACACTAACACGGTAGCATAATGAGGGTCCCTACCTTCAAACCGAAGCATTGAGAACTTTGTCAGTGTCCAGACAGTTTAATAAGAAGATATTTTAAACATACAGTCAACTTCGCGTATACAGGCAGAAGCCATCTTTGAAAAACAGTCTCTACCAGTCGATCTACGAACGCCGATCCAAGCCTGCTGTTCGCGCTCACCTTATCACAACTTATAGCTCGTTCACATCTCACCAGCGCACTTGGATCGGCGTTCGTAGATCAACTGGTAGAGACTGTTTTTCAAAGATGGCTCCTGTCTGTATACGCGAAGTTGACTGTATGTTTAAAATATCTTCTTATTAAACTGTCTGGACACTGACAAAGTTCTCAATGCTTCGGTTTGAAGGTAGGGACCCTCATTATGCTACCGTGCTAGTGTGGGGCTATTTTGAGCCTTGTTAGTGGTATTAACAAGCGATTTTTATTTGTCATTGATCTATGCCCAATATACTAGCGTTATACTAGCTTTATAGGCTAAACTGTTTTTAGAGATAAAACTATTTACATTCGATAATCATGAAAACAAATCTAAGATAACGGTTGACTAGGTAACAATGTGTAATTAGACCAAAGGTTCATTTTGCGCCGGAGTTCTCCTTTAATCACTCACCCTCATGTCGTTCCAAACCCGTAAGAACTTTGTTCATCTTTGGAACACATATGAAGATATTTTTGATGACGAGAGCTTTCTGAACTACGTGGGTGAGTAATTGTTGACAGAAATGTAATTTTTGGGTGAACCAACTTTTGAACATAAATTGTTATTATTAACAATAAATATTATTACTGTTTTATAATCTCATTTCAAAGCCCTACTATATTTTACAGTACAATTTACTGTATATTATTTTGCTAAAATATATTCATAAACCAACCAGGAAACATTTAGTTTTCAGATTATTTGAATATATTGAAACAGGTTTCATTATTTTTGTCATTTGTTTTTAGAACCATGTAAACAAACCCTTTTTCTCTGTCTCTCTGTCAGTCCTCTATGCGAAAGTTTTGTTTGATGTGTCAGAATCTTGTGGATACTGGAAGTCAGTACAACATAAACTGCTCCCATACAATGCACAAAGAAGTGAGTGTGTAACTTTCACAAAATACACATTTAGGCACATTTTTTACTTCGTCTATGTGTTCTAATAAATGTTGTTGTTTCTCCTTTTATTTAGTGTGTCAGTGTTTGGCTCAAGACCAGCAAGAATAACTCCTGTCCTTTCTGCCCATCCAAATGAGAACTGAGAACCCAATCACACATATAGTTGAGCCAAGACCTGCAAAGAATTAAGTGGAATGATTATATTAATAGTTATAGTCACGTGTGAATTAAGTTTTTATAATTCCATTATAACTATCTGGTTAATGTTAGAAAATAAATTGGTCCATTCCCTGTCAGAGTTGACTATTATTATAAAGGACAGTATGTTATTACACTAATTTGTTACTTTGCTGATCAATGGAAATCCTTACTATATGAATTTTTTCAGTATTCAGTGTTATTCCAAAGATTTTCAAACTTAACCTCAAGTATAATCCTCATTATGTAAGCTTTTCTAAAGGTCATGTAACATGGACACAAACTCCTAAACAGAATAAAATGTTTTTTTCACTTCAACAACTTTTCCAAGTGATTTAAAACCGCTTAACTGGAAAATGTTGCTGTTATATATTTCTGTATTTTATTAAATTAATTATCAACAGAGGCCTTTATATGGAGAGTTTTATACATTAAAGAGGAAAAATAAATTGATTAATGTCTTTTTTGCAGTGTAATCACTGGTAGTCACTCCTTTTTTTTTTTTTCAAAGATTTATTAAGATGAATTATGATATTGTTCACAATGAAAACTGTATTGTGATCATATACCATGTTGTTTCAGAAGGGAAGAAAACACTTGACTCGAAAAAAAAAAATTTTTGTGCATTTTATTTGTTTGCATTGTTACGTCAAAGATTATTTAACTTGAACATAATAAACATTCATCTCAAAACTCTTGCATCTACAGTCCTTACATCACCAAACACAAGAAAATCTGTTCTTTGCTGTTGTCTGAGGATCCGAGTGTGCAAAGTCCTTGAGCATTTTTATGCCTGGATGGCCTTGGAGATGGTGTCATACACCTGTGCAAACCTGGCCTTCACATTCTCCATGTAGGGCTCCATGCGGGCCTGGAGGTCCTGGGTGTGTGGGGTGATCTTCTCCCTGGCCTCCTCGACAGCCTTCACCAGCTGTTCTTTGTATTCCTCAGCATAGGGGGCGGCCATGGTCCTCAGATCCTCCAGACTCTCCGTCAGCTTAGTGCGTACGACCTCGACCATCGGCACAAGCTTGGACTTGGTATCCTCAAAGTTGGTCTCAAACATCTGCCTCATGTCATCTAACAGGGGCTGCAGCTTGGCACGCATCTGCTCAGCATTTTCACGGTTCAGGGTGGCATATTCCTGGTAGAGGGGCTCCAGCTTGTCACGGTACTCGTCAAAGTGCTTCTGCACCACCTGGTACAGCTCGGCTCGGTGGGGCTCCAGCTTGGATTTGATGTCTTCAATGTCGGTCATGACGCGCTCGTGCAGCTGCTTGGTGTTCTCCAGGAATTGGTTGGAGAAGGACTCAGCGTAGGGGGTCAGAGTCTGGGCATATTCCTGAAGCTTAGTCAGGCTCTCTGAAAGTTGCAATCTGAAGACAACAGAACATACATTTAGAAAATGCAAACACAAATCGCTTCAGTTTAAGCTGGAGGTGAAAGCCTGGAATCAAAACACACTGCTCATTCACTAAGACCAGAGGAGAACTGGCCTCCTGACTGAACCTGGTTTATCTCAACTGTCACCTAATGGAGATTTGATTCCTCGGGTTCTCACATGAAATTAACTTGTTTCATAATGGATGAGCTTTTCAGCATGAGCTTCAGTTATTCAACTGAATTGAAATGACTACAGCTGAAATGAAATTTGCTTCATCATGAAATAATTTTACAACAATTACTCTCGTTTTCCTGAGTGTGAAGCTACTTGGAAAACATTCTGTATTGTATAAAGCACTATATAAATAACTGATTTGATTTGAAATGATGAGATACAGAAGTAAGAAAAGATATTTCAAGAATGATTAAACTGCAAAGGGGCAAAAAAGCATTTGGGAAAAGTAAAAAAAAACATGAACAGAAGATTAAGACACAAAAGAGTGAGTAAGAGGTCATCATGATCAGATGTGTCTTTTACTTGTATTGCTCATAGTCGGTTCCATCCAAGTTGTCGAGAGCCTTCTGAGTCTGCTCCTTGACCTGGGTCAGGTACATCAAGGCTGCTGACTTGAAGTGCTCCAGCTGGGAGGGAGCATCAGCCTGCAGGAAACGGGCCTGGGAACCTAAGGAGACACACAGGAAAAGCTTCATAAACCAAAGTGAAGACTCAAGCTCATTAAACTTTGCGAAGAAACATATACTGTACATGGTCAAATTGTCAACCTAAAAACCAAAGCATTAACAAAATCATCGACTTCATGAGTTTTTAAGTGGTTGAACTTAAAGTAAATGTAAAATACTAAAGAAAAATTAGATGACATTTAAGTGAAATGTGAAGTCAGGCGTGTTACTTACCCACAGCCAAGAGGAGAGTCAGTGCAAGAGCCACGAATTTCATGGTTGAGCCCTGAAAGAGAATACTCTTATTATACCATCAAAGTACTTTTTAGCAATGTCTATATTACAAAAATATTGTGCTCAACTGTGTCTATGCTAATATCTATGTTCTCATTGTTTCTCTCTTTACTCCTGGCCTCTGCATTCTGAATGGTCTTGATCCAATTTTGCTCTCCTGCTGGTTTGCACCCTTACCTGAGTTTTGCTTCTCTGAAAGTTCGAGGACAGGCAGCAGAGGCAAAGGTCTTATATAGGGCAGGAACAGTGCGTGTGGAGTTGGAACCCTGTCCTCTTACACATCAGAGGTTCAAAGGGTAGGTGCAATAAAAGACATTTTAGATATCTGTAGACAAGTCAATGCACTGTCAGTCTCACAAAACACAAATTACATGTAAAATATTCCATTATCTGTCAGATAAAATCTTTTTTTTTTAAATCTTCTGAAAATAATTTGTCAGATATTGCTTTGATAACCACTGTGAATCAAAATGTAGATGTTTAATTGCATCAAACAATGATTCTGAGGACAAATATTAAATTGACTTTTCCCTAACAGGAAAGAGCAGGAAACTCTAAATTCATTAATGCCAATTAAATTGTTGTAATTCAGCCATTAAAAACAGATATAGCAATATTTTTAAATTATTTTTTTTAAGCTTAGTTGCAGAACAATCAGGCATTTATTAGTTTGTGATTAAGCAGTTTGTTATTGAACACAACAAATCCATGTGATTACATCTCAGTGTCATAACAGATTTGGCAACGTGTAGCAAACCTTGATCTCCACCTCCTTCGGCTCCAAATAAAATGTTATCAACTGCTGTCGTGGAAAAGGTCCATCACCAGTCAGGGGTCATTGATCAATCAGTTATCTTTGTCCCTTGATTTACTCAACTCCTCACATTCTCGAGTAAAATTACCTTGATTAGCTTATGCTAAGTGGCATTTTGACTGAAAACTATAGACATTTCAGTTTAGTATTCATAAATGAACCATAATGCTGATTTCTTTACAAAAATGTGAACATGATGTGGAAAACATTGTCCACTAAAATTAAGGTTATATTTGTTCTAAAATCTCGACTACTTCCTGCTACACTGCACAAGGCCTAATTTAAAACCTTATTTTAAAAGGTTTTATCTTATCTTTGATGCACTCTCTTTATGATTTATGAGTTAACATTTTTTTTTGTACTTCGCATAGACTTTATGGTAACGCTTCCTTTTACAGTACAGTACTTATGTGTACTTACAGTGTACTTACCTAGAAAGTACTGGCTATTGGCTAATATAAGGTAAGTACATGGGTTAGGGGTAGGTTTAGGGGTAGGTTCGGGGTTAGTACCGAGTTATTACCCAGTAATTGTAATTACTATAATAAGTGCATAGTATGTACATGGGTAACAGTACTGTTAAAGGAAGCGTTGCCGACTTTACCACCTCATCTCTAATGGGCAAACAGAGAGGGTCAAACAGTAGGTTCTGAGCACTATATGCTAATATACAGAGGATGAGGTTATCTAAGTGGCTTAAGTCTGTATCATCAGAACAGAGCTCCATTTGAGCTTTATCAGCAGTAACTTATCACTGTGTTTGTCAGTTCATGCAACCTGTTTGAATCCGTCACATCAGAAGCCAAAATTGACATATTTCAAGCAGAGCATGTCATTGCCCTGTAGTAGCCTACCTTGTGAACTGATTTCCAGAGTTACTTCTCAATAACCCATTTTTTTCTCATTTTGCAGACTTTACATTTATATTTGCTATAATTTAATTGATCCTTTTTTTGGATTATAGTAAAAGATTATGAACAGTATTAGGTTATCTGAATTAAAACAGTATTAGAGGTTATCTAAATTATTACAGTATTAAGTTATGAATTTGGATTCAGAAACTCTTAGTAGTTTTTGCTGTGAATCTGAATTAGAGATTGGGTGAAAATGCAGATTCACAGGATTAGTTTGAAAGAATAATAGTAGCATCGTGTACAAATGCTGTAAGAAGAAACTGAAATAAGCATGACACATTGACACCATGTGAAAGAAAGTGTACACACATAAGTTTAGATCCCTGCTAATTTATTGGAATTCTTGGATCTGAAGCATGTGGCAGTTGTGCCGCAGTAATAGTGCACGCTTTGCGGACCTAACAAATAGTTATAGATGGTTGATCTCTTACACTCGAACACAAAAACATTCACATTCACCAGCCACATAAGCACTTGCACAGAGTACATTAAACAGATTATATATACATACATACATACACAGACGCATATATTTATCACTTCTTGCCCACTGGCTCTCCTATACTCACTCATACGCAGCTCTTCACATAATATTTTACAGATCGCTTGGACACACACAAAAACACTGAAAACATTGTGGTTGTGCATTAGGAGCTTTCTCACACTCAGACTCACAAACCCACACACAAGGAATGATATGGTTTGATCACTCCAGTCTTACTCTAATATATAATATTTTTGTTATTGGGAATAAGAAAGGCGAAAGATGCTTCTGTGCCAAAAAAAAAATGTAAAAATGCAAAATGGGAATAAGACAAAAGCTGATATTTCAAAGGCATGATTTCTCTTGTGTGAACTGAATCATGTAGCTGTCATCATAACACTGTTGTAAGTGTGACCGCGTGCATGTATGAAGGCACGGAGAAGCTGGCAGAGTAAGTGCTACTATTAAAGGTTGTTGAGACAGTGACAATGAGATTTTGAAAAGGTTCCGGTCCCACCTGCAAAGCAATATGTCCTAAGAAAAACTATTTCTTATCACACATCTATTCTTCATTCTCCTACTGTTGTCTATTCTGCATCTTAGAAACATATGCACAGTTTATACTTTTCCTATAAAAATTGGTCACTGTATAACATCCCCTTGTTTGCTGATCTTTTAGCATTTTTCTTTGTTTTTCTAAATTAAGTATTTTAAGTACATCTTGAATATCCAACATTTCTTAACCCTGCCTCTCCAGTAAATGACCAACGTGGTGCCCTTCTTAAACCAGTGAGGCTCGCCTCTCTCGAGACGTTTCGTCCAACAGTTGAAGCACCAGCTCATGGAGGGTCGTCGACATGGTCCTGTACGCACCAGCGGTCAGATGCAGGAAGTCGAACATGTCTCGAGAGGAAATAGTCCCATCTGAGTGGACAAAACTACCTCCCACATCAAGTAACTGAACATGGCCGAGTCGAGGAAGAGATGCGCGGAGTAAATTGTTCACCGATGCATTTTTCTCTCTCAGGGGGTTAGGAAACTCTCCCCTTGGCAACAGGCCCTGAATGACAGGAATTACGACTAATCAGCTTTGACAAAAAAACGAACTGAAACTGAACTGCTGAGAGTTGATCTCTGTATACACATTAATTACAACACCACAAATCTCACATCAAGAATATGTAGACAGTGATTTCGGTAACTCACCAAAACAATAATTTTGGACTTGGGGAGGAGAGACAGAAGTAACTGTGCAATGGCCAGTATTCCTCCTGCAACCTGATCCGCAGTGTGCTCATGATTATTAGTTCCTACCCATAAAACCACCACCTGTGGAAAAACAAACCAGGACACAGTTACAAATGGTGAACACATTTCGCTTTATGGTAAATGTTAAAACTATTTACAACAAACCACCTCACCTTGGGTCTGATGTTCTCCAGTTCTCCATTCTGTAGTCTCCACAGCACATTACAGGTTGTGTCTCCACCAATCCCAAAGCTCAGAGCATGGAGAGGTGAGAAGAGTTCCCTCCACACCTGAGACCAGAACCAATAAAAAATTGCAAATCAAATGTAAACCAAAATATGTACATCTATTAAAAAAAACAACTATAAATGTTGATTATTAACAACAGACACAAAACATATCAGGTGTACAATAGTGTATAAACAAAAGAGTCATACATTTTTCATTTTAAAATTGCCTTTAAGTGTCATTATTGCAATACTATACTATTAGACATATGGATATTTACCAATAAATAAACAAACATGCCATGCGTGTTTCAATTATTTTACTAGCAGCTTAGAGACTACTGTTGTTACTCTGTAGGATACAGTGGGCTCCAAAAATATTGGTACCTTTGATAAATGAGCAAAACTGACTGAAAATTAGTTTTTGCTATTTCTTTCATTCAAATAGTTAAAGAAAATCTTATCATAAAACAATGACCCCCCCCCCACTGGCATCCCTTCATTTACTACTTTGTGCAGCCTCCCTTTGCCCAGATAACAGCTCTGGATCTTCTCCTACAATGCGTAATAAGGTTGATGAACATATGGCAAAAGATCTGAGATCTTTCCTCCATACAGAATCTCTCCAGATCATTCAGATTCAGAGGTCCATGCTTGTGGACTCTTTTCTTCAGCTCATCCCACATGTTTTTATTGAGTTTGGGTCAGGGGACTGCAAAACCTTTATTCTGTGGTCAATGAACTATTCTGTTGTTTATTTTGACATGTGGATCACTCTTTAGTTCACTCACGCTGGAAGATCCAACCAGGTGTTGATTTAATATCTGCTGGTACTTGGAGTTTATGAAACTGTGTATCCTAACAAGTGGTCCAGGGTCTTTGGAATAAAATTAGCCCCACAGCATTAAAGATGAGGTACATTTCTACATGTCTATGTCTCTGTCTATGCCCAACCCACCTCTGGCTTTATTTTGGCCTAATCTGACTATAAAACCCAGTCCCACTGAAAGTTCCAGTAACACCTAGCAAACTGCAGGTGAAGGAGATTGCTGTTTGATGTCACCAACGGCTTTTTTATTGCAACCCTTACAAACAAGCTGTGGTTATATAGGTGAGGTTTGATCCTAGTTTTGGAGACTTTCTGACCCCAAGACCCGACTAGCATCAGCAGTTCTACAACTTTGATCTTTACAGTTTTTTTGGCAACTCAAACCACCCTCCTCAGTGTGTGTGGGGCGAATACAGACACACGCCAAGATGGTTACAATCTCCAGTTGATTAAACGTCTTAAAGGAGCTGTATGTAAGATTGTGGCCTAAATTGGTACTGCAATCACTTTCAAATTACTGTAGAGCTGTGTATCCCCTCCCCCTCCCCCCTGACTCGAGGTTGCCAGATAGGCTGCAGGATCCAGCAGGAACATAGGCTGCTACAAGGAGCTTTCAACTAGAGCAGAGCTGGCAACCCGGATGCCGAAACACTACTGACTTCGTGATTGGTAGATAGGTGGAGGGCGGGGCTTCAGGCCAAAACACAAGATGACAACATCAACATCAGTTGAGGGCTGCAACTTCACTTTTTAAATGACAATATCGTGGCCGTACTACTGTTGTCAGTGATATAAGTATTTGAAATGAACATGATTTCTTAATGTCTAGAGACACAACAGGGCCATTTTATGATTAATTGAAATACTTTTTTTACATACAGCTCCTTTAATTATTGCCCGGATAATGTCAATGAGTTTTCCAACAATTAAACTATTATTTTAAAGCATCTCATGATTTGTGCAGCTCAACAACCTTCTGTCACGTTATTACTGTATTCTCGGGTCTTTTCCATAGTGATGGATGACTATAGGAATTTGGCCTGTGTGTCACTCACGACATATTTAGAATCCAGTGAAACAGGAAGTCATGATGAGTAGTGTTCCTGGTCCCTAAGGTTAATTTAAAAACCTACCATATGAATGGGAATATACTTCAGTTAGATTGTTACTCATTAGAATTTGTAGGGGTGCCAATATTTTTGGCACACATATTTTGGAGAAACCCATATTTATTTAATTTATTACACATTTATATTTCGTGTCAGTTAACTTCAATTAAAGGATTTTTTAATTTTTGTGAATTTGAATGAAAGACTAAGGAGAAATGGGTAAAACAAGTTTTCACAGTCAGTTTTGCTCATTTTTACCCAGGGTGCCAATATCACATGGCAGTTCAATTAGGCCTATACAACGGTCATTATCCAAAAATATCTGACCACTGAATGCCATGAAAGACCAAACGAAATGAAGTATTCCAGAATGGTTCCGATTAAAAATCATAATTATCCAGCCCGTTCTCATCCCAAGGCGTCATATACTGACGCTTTTGCCAAAGCGTCTATATCCAACGCACATGGCACCCTTTAGCGTCAATATGAGACGCAGATATATGGCGCCTCTTAGTGGTCTAACCCTAACACTACCTCAGACCTAAACCTACCCATAACCGAAGCTTGTTATATTGAGGCTAAAGGGTGCCATGTGCGTCGGATGTAGACGCTTTGGCAAAAGCGTCAGTATATGACGCCTTGGGATGAGAATGCGTTGAATTATCATAGGAAAGTTTAGTTGTTAATATCTTAATTTTATATTTTGAATTTCATATTTGAATTTCTATGACTGGCTATAAATACACGTTCAATTTCATATAGTGCTTTCAAATATTTATAAAAATACACTAGTTTTATATGAAATATTTTAAAATAAATTCATAATTTCAAATATAAAAAGTATAATATTTCAGCTTTCAAACCACTTAATACCATTACATGTCTAGTGCATTTGAACATTTTGCACAAACACTTCTGCTCTCTAGCACTGTACTAGGCTGTATTTTTAGGAAGATTATAGTATGTGAGCAGTAGTTATTTTGGTCTATCTTGGATTCATTGCTTCTGCTATTCTGATTTATATTTGGATAGAAGTATCCTCTTACTGAGCAAATGGAATTGCAACCGAGTAGTTCACCTTTTTTTATGGATTGACATTGACTTATTAACGAGATAACAATCACCTCGTGCTGTTGCATAAGCTGCACCATTGAGTCCCCCACAAACAGAACATCAGGCTCCGCATCCTTGCACTCCTGCACAAACCGGTTGTGCTGCAACAATATAGAACAAAATAAATCCGAGCATGTTACGCCAATCCTTAATCAGACTGAGGTGTTATGAAAGAGGAAAAGATTGTGCACAGCTCTGAGATGTTACAAGTAGCCTATGCACGATGACTACAGAAGGCTTTCACAATGGAGCACACCTGTGACATCCAGCGTCCGTCTCCCTGCACGTCGATCACAGGTGCAGGTTCAGCAGCGGGATTCTCCTCAGCGCTCATTCTCTACGACACAAACACAAGTGCTACAAAACAACAATACTAATGAGCGGCCGTGCTGACGTAATGGAAATGAATGCAATTGTTGACTAGTTCAGACTGAGTCCTAATTTCGTAGCGGTAAGATACAACTATCAATAATATTCACTCCGAGCAAAATATAGAGCATTGAAGGGGTCACGCGTGCCAAGCACACATTTCAAACCGCCGCACAAAGAGCGCGTGTTTTGCTTTTTAGTCCTAAGGGTGATGAGGATGATGATGATGATGATGATGATGGACTCCGGATGAAGCCAACACACAGCAGAGGTTGTGCAGTAAAGACTAACGCTTCATAGATGTGCTTTAATGACTGCTACTGACAGGGTCAGGGATGATGATCCCAGGAATGTTTAGCTGATGGTATAACGAAGAAGAATGAATCAACAGCCGGGACAAAAGGAAAACATTCCCGGTGGCATCACGCATACACACACGTCCGTCTGCACGCCTCTTCTTGACTAACCTGGCTACAGTGTTTGCAAATCCCGTCTGCAGTGAGTGAGCTGCGGGTGTGTGCAGCAGGGCAGGGCTTCCTCAATCACCTACAGCAGCACCGCAACTGACTGTCCGGGGAAGAAGATGCAGATGAATGTTTCTGCAGCCGCGCACCTCGACTCTGCTTTTTCCAGCAATGCAACCTTAACGGACTTAGTCCACACAATAATAATGTTTAATGGTTTAATTATGTGGGTATATAGCGCGTGGTCTATTAAAGAAATCACAGTAAATGTTTGGGTTATGTAAACCGAATAGCATCCAACCAACCGCCTCCCCACTTCCCTGCGCAACCACCCTCGCACTTTCTGGAAGCCTCACTTCCGCCTAACGCCATCGTCACGCACTTCCCATTCAGCCCTGTCCCGCCTCATCGTGACGGCAAAATATAGGCTAGAATCTATATGGCTGGAATAACCGTTATAATATCACAAGAGCAAGAGGTTGCCAACTTCAGGGAAGGAAAATAAAGGACAGTCTTTGGTTCTTTAAAGGAAACCAAGGGACAGTATATAAATTAAAAATATATCTTTACCACACAGTGTATGATGCCATGTAGCCTATGTTTTGCCGGAATTCAATGCTAAAATTAATCTCAGACATAAACAAGTTGTTTTGCTGAACTTAAATTGTAGGCTACAATTTAATTCTAAAAAGAATTTTAATATAATTCTAAAATGTCACACACAATTAAACATCCTGAGCAACTTACCACTATAGAATTGTGACTGCACAAATGATGAGGAACAGGTTTTGTTCTATTAAGTGCATGTTGTACGTTTTATTTTTTAAAGAAGGCTACTTTACCTTTTGAACAAACTCAATTGCCATGTAATGTGCAAATAAACAAAAGGGGTTTGATAAGCCCAACTTTATAAACACATAGGCTAACTAACTCTTGTATGTAGAAATGTTACTTTATGTAATGTTACTATTATAACTGATAATTTATGCTTTAAATTTTATGTGCATTTTATTACATTACAAGCTATGAGAATTTCGTCTTGTGTTTTGGCGATATAATTAGGCTAAACAACATATGCACCAAACATAATTTGGCTTGTTTGGTCCTCTGAATAAAATGTAGGTCAAAATAAAATTTTCAGTGAACATACACTATTTATTTATTTTTTGCTAAAAATGGCATAGAAAAGTGCACAAATTGGGAAGCACCTTGTGTATTTTTCTCTGCCAGCAAAAATGATCTCAATAGGCTAGTCAATAGAATCCAAAGCATCAAGTTTTGTGTGTTACCAAGCAGCGCAAAAGTAAATGCTGGTCTGGAGCCCCTTACATGAGTGGAGCAATAGCCATCTCTTGCACAAACAAGCCCTGGTGAAAAAATAAAATGCTACTTGCAGCCAGTCTAATACAGTATACTTCAAGTGTGTTAATGATTAGTTAACTTGAAGTGTGCTATTTTGAAACAACTCATTTTGTACTAAGTAGTTGTAATTAATTTGTAGTAAAGCATTACTTTAACTATATTTAGTGTACTTTTGTCAGCTAAATTGGAACAACTTCAAGTAGTATAATTAAAGTATATGCCTGCAGGGACTAAGACAAGTACATGCTTGATTAGTGATATGATATTAAAGTGTACTTTATTTGTGTTACAAGTACATTACAAATTCATTATTCAAGTACATTACAAAGGTATTACTGAGAATTTACCTTTTACTCAAATATAATACACAATTATAGTATTATATTTGAGTAAAAAGTAAATGCTCAGTAATACATTTGGCTTATTCCAAAGACTAAATTGCACACTGTCTTCAATAACACATGTACATTAATAAACAAATATTACTAAGCTATACTTTGTACAATATACTATTGTATACTATAATGTATTTTGAAAGTATAGGCTACTCTTAATGCATTGTTACAATGTTAATTTTCACCACACAGTTAAAAATATACCTAAAATATATTTTTAAGTAAAGTGCAAATGAATACACTTTTTAAAAATAATCCGAATTTTCACTTCAATCATATTTTTCTAAAATATTTATTTTTACAAAATATACTACAATTATTTTGTGTTAAAAGTTCTATTTTGAAAATAGGTAAAAGCATGACGCTAATATACTTTTAATATATTTAAAGTTTTTTGTTAGTATATTTGCAATGTAGCCTACTATTTAAAGGGTTACTAAACCCTAAAACAACTTTTTTTTGTTAATAATCTGTAAGATTGGGGCTTTATTAATGCTGTTCATTGATTCGAGTAAAAAAACATTTGGCCCATATAAAGTGTTTTAATTCTACAATATATGGTGTAAAAACGTCTGAGTGCTGCCCTCTTCAGGTTGAAAGGTGGCTACTGCAGTTGAATTTTCCTATTGGAAGTTGTGGTGCCGCATTGGGTAAGCAGGCACCAGCTCACCATGCCCTTGGTACGAGCTCACCACACCCTTGGCATAGGCTCAGCCCCTGGTATAAAAATATATTGTTCCGTCAAAACCACTGTAGCTAGTAAGAAGTTGGAATTGCGAGTATTTAAACCGATCAGGATATATATTAGCATCTAGTTAGCATAGCATTTATATAGTTATTTAGATTATTTTGTGTAGCCTAGGTAGTTATTTAGCATAGTTGTTAGTGTAGTATTGGTAGAAGCATAGCATAGTATTGCATCAGTTAGGATAGCTTCAAGTTAGCATATATTTTTAGCATTAGCTTTATCTGTAGCCTATTTAGTAGCCTAGTGGTTAGGATGGGACATAGGTGTAGTGTTGCTGGTTGCAACAGCACTGCTCGCGCTGAAAAGCGACGCGGTGCCAAACGCTGCTCCTCCTGCACCGCAGCGGGATCTTGATGTGAGTGACCATATATTTTTAATAACATTTTATGTTCCTTCCAACTAGGCTAAAGTTAACCCTCTCGACAAACGCGCCGGCGCGTTTTGCTGGATTTTTTTTCACATAGCAGAAAAATAGACTTAAAATACTCTGTCATTTATGGTCATACAGACTTAAGAAATATGAAAAAATAAACTGTGAAATGTGTACTTTTCTATGTGTCCACTTACAATCAAAACATTGTGCTTTTGTAAAATAAAGAAATTAAACCGGGTATGCTTTCTGCCTCTCCATCTCCACGAACTTTTTTTCTGGAGCACGTCTCTAACTTAAACAAAACTCAGCAAATACTATTCACCCAGGCATAAGCAATATATCTTTATAAACATTTACGTCTCTGCTAAATTATCTAATTCAAAACGAAAACAAATATTCTCTGTTTATGCAATCTGTATGAGAAGATAGAGATGTCAGTCATTCTCATGGCAACTCATTATCTGCTAATGTGAACATGCCTACAGAGAGCGCGGGCTATTGAAACGCGGGTCTCAGGTTTATTTCCACGTTTTGAATGTCGGCCTATTTGTCTAGTGTGATTAAGGCTTTAGACTACTCTGCCATGGAAAGGAGCTATCTGAATAAATTAAGCATTTGTTAAGATTGTATGGATGTAAGACTAAACTACAAGATGAAAAGTAGCTATGTCCCAAAATAATTGAAGTGTATTTTTATAATGACGTCACTTGAACCCGAAGGCTAGCTGCACTTTGTCATTATTCCACAAGATGGCAACAGAGTCGATACACTAAATGTCACAAGTCACAACTGATTTTAGTATGCTCAAAGCCCATATTAGACATTCTCTGGTATGCTGATTTTAAAGGTGACTGCACATTTCAGTCAATAGTATGACAAGTAGAGTAAGGCGAATTATCTTCTCGTTTAAGAAATTGCATGAACGGCGACAACTGTAACTCTTGTCTCAGCGAGAGAGAAAGACAAATTAAACGAAAATCCAAATCCCAGTAGAAAACAAGACTGTGTTAATTAACCTTTCGATTAGATGTTGTTGTCACAAGTACTTTGAGAAACATGCAGTGACATGCACTGGATACTAGTCCTACACAAAAGAGGGCAGGTTACTATCTAGGCTACTTGTGCGAAACAGATGTCAAGGTAGTCTGTGGACTCACTGTGCCTTACAGGTTTTTGTTGACGCCTTTAATGAGAAAACTCCTCCTCACTCACGGATATTAACAAGTGCCGAGCGGTTTAGCATGGCCGCTGTGCTCAGCTGTTCCGAAGTTCAATTTATACTTAGATAGGCTATTGAGTGTAAATACAGTAAGCTGTTTGATAAATAGTTAACAGTAGAATACTCTCATTTGTAGGAGCTCTGATAGCTCCTCTAGTGCTTTTCTTATGAGTCGAATCTGGATTTACCTGTTTTCTGCGCTATGTGCGCTTGTGTCAGGTGAGTTTAGTAGCCTACTTCCTGGATCAACCTCTGGTTTCGGAATAAATATAATGTGTTTTATTAACATAATTTTATTTAATATTTAGTTTAGCAAGTCATTATTTGTGGTGTTAGATTATCTGCCTGCTTCTTTTGTCAAGAACTATATGGTCACTTGCAGTCTCAGAGTATACCAGCAAACCAAGCAGGTATCGTTTAACAACGACTTATTTTTTGTGTTTCTGCGGCACTTATCAGACGCTTATCAGATTTACACTGTGCTGTCGTTGATAAAATAAGATTATGCGAGATTAGATTGATCCTCATGGAGTTAATGCAGGCATTACAGAAGCTTGAAGTGGAGGTGCAATAAGAAAGATTAACGATAGGTAGAAACAACTGGAAGAAATGCAGTATATTTGTTTTAGAATGCACAACATTTACTATTCTACTTATTGAATTGTATTTACAAATAGCCTACTATATGGTACAACTGCACTGCAGTGAGTACAGTGAGTAGAGTGACCTAGTGAAACGGATTTAATGGTTGGAATGGCGACAGTCTCAGCTTAAGCAGAGTTAAACACCCTGATCACAGCAGGACCCGTGAAAGCTTTACCTTAATGCTTAATAAATAGTTCAGGTTAGTTAGAGCAGAATATCTCCCATGGGACTGAATGATAGAGGTGGGTTAATTATTGCCAACATACTGTATAAAAAATTATTTAGATGGTACATATTGTTAGCTGGAAGGACTGAAGATCATCTGCTCTGTTTAAAAAGTTAAAATGTTTAAAAAGATTGAATCAATATTGAACTTAGTCATTTTTTTATAAATATGCAATTTCGGTGCATATTTGTGTGAATAATAGTTAATCTAAATGTACCGATCTGATTTGAGATTGTTCTGATAAGAGATATATGATATGAATGTGTCTACTACGTGAACTCATTCTATCTATCTATCTATCTATCTATCTATCTATCTATCTATCTATCTATCTATCTATCTATCTGTCTATCTGTCTATCTGTCTATCTATCTATCTATCTATCTATCTATCTATCTATCTATCTGTCTGTCTGTCTGTCTGTCTGTCTGTCTGTCTGTCTGTCTGTCTGTCTGTCATGAAGTTTGAGATAACATTATAGCTCTCTCTTTCTATATGTTTGGTTGAAGGCGACAGAAAAGACATTTTGGTGGCAAGTTTAGGGTTAGAGCATGTAAATGTTGTTGGAATGAGCTGTATGTGTGTTAGTGTCAGTTATATACTTAGTAACATATTAATCCATGGTTACCAGGTATTTATCAGGTTAAGGGAATGGAAGTGCTTACATCTTCAGAGTTGGAGGCAGTCAATGGGACAAATGTACGGCTCAAATGTACATTTAAATCTACCCATCCGCTCTCCGAAGTAAAAACCTCTGTATCCTGGAGCTTCCAGCCACTCGGAAAGACAACAGCAGAAATGGTGAGACTGAAGTTAATGAGTTTTGTTGAATCATATGTGATGCATCAGGCTTTTATGGCTCATAAAGTATGATATAGAAGAGCTCACACCTGAGGTGGAAAAAATATCTCAATTTTACTAGCAAAAAATTTGGTGCATTTGCTAATATTTATTTGACCAAAAGGTAAGATGAAAGTCTGATAGATTCTAATGTAAATCAATGAGATGTTTATAGTATAACAGACTACTTGCATATATTGCATATAAATAAATATCAGTTGTCACTCTATATCTCCCAATAATATGTCTTCGTGAGATGATATTTGAATGCTTAGTTTATGACAAATCTCTAGTTTTGTAAGGTACCGTTTTTTTGTGCAATATGTTTTTCAGCAATGTTTTGATCATGTTGATAATTTATAGGCCTTTTTTTGGCATATCAAATATGATACAGTAGGCTTTATATGGTTAATATATCTGAAAATCTTTTGTAATTACTAGGTGAAATGAGGCTGTGTACAGGACATGCGCTCTTAAATCCTTGCTCTCTTCAAAAATCTGTTATCCCCTTTTCCTTCTTCCCCTTGTTTCTCTCTTCACTTTGGTTCTAACCTCATTTCAGTGGGCCAGACTCCTTCCTTCTTATTTAACTTTCAACATTTCTGTCTCTTAGTTTTTTCACTACCAGGAAAGTGTATATCCCCCAACAAACGGCTTGTTTAAGGATCATGCTGTATGGTCTGGTGATGTAATGAACGGGGACGGATCCATCACGCTGCAGGATGTGCAGTTCAACTTTAATGGTACCTACAGCTGCCAAGTCCGAAATCCGCCCGACATCCAGGGCTTTGCAAGCGAGATCAGCCTCAGAGTCGTTCAAAAAGGTGAGAGTAGATGCTTTAACACATTTACTCACCCTTCCAAACACATATAGCAGACAGAAGAGGTGAAGGTTGTATAAGCAGGATGTTGTGTTCCTTCTTTGATCCCAGCAGCTGAAGGACAGAAGTATCTAATCTCAACTGGGCTAGAATAACAAACAGACGTCTCTCAGAATGTTATGATACAGACAACAGGAGTATAATTGTAACAATAGTAAGCGGTATTCAGTTTGCTGGCCACCCTCTGATAAAGTTTCCCACGCCCGTTATTTGAACATATTTTCTCATTCTCATTGAGTTTCAAAGTACATTATTGGCATGATTATTTTACTTAAAATTTTGCCAAAGCATCAGTATGTACAATAAAAGCAGTGACAGGAATAATGATAATTAAAAAAAAAAGATGTCAGTACTGGTAATAATAATAACAACAAAATAATATTTACAAAATAAAGTAGAATAAAATAACACAGTAATGAGCATAAAGAATACTCTCTCTTCTCTTCTTATAGTTTCATTCTCTGAAATTGGAATTCTGGCAATAGCTGTGGGTGGATCCATTGGCTTCATTCTCCTCATCCTCATCATCTATATCATTGTGCGGGTATTCCGGAGACAGGACAATGACATGGGTGTTGAGATGGAGGACCACAGATCAAAGGATCAAGTGTTGTGAGAGAAGAACGAGTGATAAATGAAATAATAACATATTATGCCGCAGTATTCTCTGAAATAACTCTATCTAGTAAGTAGAAGCTTACTTTTTTACTTATGATAATTTTACAGAGACAAGTTTTTAATAATCATTACTTTTTCCTTTTTTTTTAAAAACTTTTTTAATATATGCAAACAGAAGGGAAAAGGGTAGTTTTTTATACATAAAGTGAGATCATCTAACCTTTGTATTCTTAAAAAGATATAAAATACCAGTTCAAATATGTATATAAAACCTGACTTCATGGACTGTCTATAGGTATGATTGAGAATTTTTCGTCACTCTTCATTCTGTGTGTTATCTGTTGCACTGTTTAACGGTAGTTTGTGTGGCCACACATGTATTTAATGTTCATGTATGTCTGCATACATGTGTGGGTGTGTTTCTGTGTATGAACATACATTATATGTGGATCACAAACCTGTGCGGCAAAAACCCCTGTTCATTGTTCATTTAAAAGAGCAATACATTTTTTAAACCAGTAAAATATTTTGAATTTTTTATTTTGGAATGGATGGATCAAAGAGAAACTGCATGAAAAAATGATTGAACAAATGTTGTACTTGGACATTGATTGTTCGTTTTACTGCCCATCTCATTTCATAAACCTCAAATCTTCAGGGTTTTGGGAATCTTTGTTCATCAATGCTGCTGATTAAGAGTCTGCTATTTATAGCATCCCTTTCAAATGAGTAAATCCATCTTTTAATCCTAGTTTAAAATGAAATGCTTTATTCTCTGATCAAAAATAGTTTTTCTATTTTCTTGTTGGTTGTTACATTTTACAAAAAAAAAATTTATTGACATTTTAAAAGTTAAAAAAAAACTTTTTGGGAAACCTTTTGTGGATGGTATGTTCTCTTTGAAATTTTGACATGATAAAGTTTTAAAAGCTGTAAAAGCAACAAATGTATTATTTTTTTTACACCTACTGGCAATCAGTCTGGTTGTGTGCCAGTTTATGCTGGACTTTTTCTTTTGCCAGGCTAAAATGCTAACTTTTTCTCTCCTATTTTGGTTGCGCTTTCAATAAATTTCAAGAGTTTATAATGTGTGTTATACTATTTATTCAAAGTAGACTGATTTAGTCATGGTAAAAAAGAAACAAAAGTAAGAACACAAACCAGGATTGAACCCATTTAAAATTTGACATTGCTTTAGTGTGGAAACAATACTTTAAAACCCTTTTTAAAATGTTGTGATATCATATTCAAATTTTGAACACTTGGTTAGACATATGGCTTTTATTTTCTAACAATTTTAAAGTCCTACTTATTTAGTAAAATATATATTTTGTATAAAATAAAAATGTTTAGTTACATTTACAGTAAACTTAAACTTCTAAAACGTTCACTGTTTTACGCTGCCTTCACTTCTGCAACAACCTGCTGACTTTGTGTCTATATTCCAAAGCTTTCATGAATTACAAATATTTAAGTTTAGATATATGGTCAAAAAGGGGGTTGAGACTTAATAAGTTAAACAACTTGTTATGGATTTTTTCCTCAAACCTAACTAATTTAAATTTGTTTCCCTAACTATAAATTATTCGCTAGCGCGTCTATATATATTTGACGTTAGCTACGTTAACACATCAGCAAGTCTCCAGTCGACTACAGCATCCGCTCCCTAACTATACAGTATCGACTACAGTATCCAGAGTCGATAATTCTAACTTACTTGTTCTCTTGCTGCGCAGCTTAAATGACAGACAGACTTGAGTAATTGTCCTTTAAATGCTCTTTATTACGGCCGGGAGTTCTCAAGCAGTTCTCAGAGAATCTCAACCAAAAAGAAGAATACAACAAGCTTTATAGGATAAAGCCAGACACATCAAAATAGAATCATTATGACTAACATGTCACGCTCTGTCAATATGATTGGTTAAATTGGTTAATTGTTTAAATAATCAAAAAACATTGTAATGGGTTAATATTTCAATCAATCATTTCATAATACAGTCAAAGAACAGAATGTTTAGTCCATTTTCAAAGTTCCGTTGACCAAGGTTACATTGAGTCAAAAGTTTGTTAGATGGTTAGATCATATCGAAATTTCGTCTGATGGCTACATCCTAAATAAAAGGAAGTAAGATTTATTTTGGTTTATTGTTAGATCTAGAATAGAAAGTTAGTCACCATCAGACATAAAAACGGGAAGTGTGATAAAAGTTTATCATAAGATGCTTCATCTAAAATCAGATTTTTAGGGTTAGTAACATCATTAATCTTATCTATTAAAAATCCACCACAAACTCCATTATAGTTTTTTGGGTTCCAAAAGAAAATGTACCATACCTAACATTCTAGCTTTTTTCAGTTAGCCTGGGAAATTATGATGTGTGGAAAAGCACCCTCTGGTGGATGTAAAAGTCTATAGCCTAATATATTGATAACATGAGTTGGTTTCATTCAATACAGTGAACAGACACTGCTCCTTCTCCCTCAAATGGAGAAACTTTGCATAGGCTCCTTTACTTTAAATGTGGCTGTAATCAACACGTGCATGTGTGTTTGTTATTGTAACAAAGCTTATTTATCATTTAGCATTTAGATAAAGCATGTGTTTAAGAGAGAGACATGACACAGTATATTACTTGTGTTAAATTACATTGATCTGAAGTCAGTCATGAGCCTGTTTATTATAAACGCATGCTATGTTCTTCTGATGCTGTGTGTGTGTGTGTGTGTGTCGTACTGAAATGGATTACGGGCTTCTGAGCCCTAGACTTAAAAGGAGTAATTGATTTTTATAGATTTTCAATTGTTTTAACCAAATAGAGAACCTGACTTCCGTGTGTGTGTGTGTGTGTGCGCGTGTACGTGTGTGTTTGCTCACTCACTGCGGTATACCAGAGTGCTGAAAGAGGCTCGTCCCCTGCTAGACTCTTTGCTGCACCAGCAGAGGACACCTCTCTCTCTCTCTCTCTCTCTCTCCTCTCTCTCTCTCTCTCTCTCTCTCTCTCTCCTCTCTTCTCTCTTCTCTCCTCTCTCTCTCTCTCCTCTCTCTCTCTCTCTCTCTCTCTCTCTCTCTCTCTCCTCTCTCCTCTCTCTCTCTCTCTCTCTCTCTCTCTCTCTCTCTCTCTCTCTCTCTCTCTCTCTCTCTCTCTGTCTCTCTCTCTCTCTCTCTCTCTCTCTCTCTCTCTCTCTCTCTGTCTCTCTCTCTCTCTCTCTCTCTCTCTCTGTGTGTGTGTCTGATGAGAAGAAATGCAGCATTGGTGGGAACTGGTCCAGAAAGGCAGAAAAAAAACCTTGCCACGTTCAGTGCAGCACAGCGCTGCAGAGCATCCTGAAAACGGATCTCAGAACTCCAAACTGCATCCTTCATTCCACAAACACATACACACACACACACACACACACACCCTGCACTGTCCCAGTGTCTTCAACTCTGAAGTTATCAGCATGGATATTTTTTGACCCCTCACTTGTCAATAATGTTTAAAGTTAGTTCACATGACCTTCGGTATGACACACAATACTTTATCAAAAACTGTTTTATACTGAATTTGGCTAATTCTTTTAAAATACTTCATGTTAATTTATGTGCTCATGCTGATTTATGAACTGTTTAATAGAATACATGCAATATTTAGAAATTTATGTTAGCTATATGTAAGCTATACAGTTTAAAATCTTAATTTTAAAGTGCAAAAGAGTGCGTCTTTAACTTCTGCGATTCTATTATAGGATATGGCCCTGTAGCCCAAGACTGGTTGCCCACTATACAGCTAAGCAGGGTTGAGCCTGGTTAGTACCTGGATGGGAGACCTCCTGAGAAAACTAGGTTGCTGCTGGAAGAGGTGTTAGTGAGGCCAGTAGGGGGGTGCTCACCCTGTGTCTGCATGGGTCCTAACGCCCCAGTATAGTGATGGGGACACTAAACTGTCAAAGAGCACCGCCCTTCGGATGAGACGTTAAACCGATGTCCTGACTCCTGTGGTCACAAAAAATCCAAGTTTCGAAAGAGTAGGGGTGTAACCCCGGCATCCTGGCCAAATTTGCCCATTGGCCTCTGTCCATCATGGCCTCCTAATCATCCCTAAATACTGATTGGCTTCATCACTCTGTCTCCTCTCCACCAATAAGCTGGTGTGTGGTGGGTGTTCTGGCACAATATGGCTGCCGTCGCATCATCCAGGGCTGCGTTTCAGTCCAAAACTGTCATGCCCTTCACTCGCTAACTTCCCTCCGTCTCGTTCGCTCGGATGTACGTCATTGCTTACGTTGCATGAGTGCCCAGACTGCCCACTACTGGCGGAACCTTTGCAATGGCCTGAATTGTACATGCTAGGCCCTTGATCACTTAGAATCCACTGGGGTTGATTTATTATTTATTCCCCCCCCCCCCCCCCCCTGTTTGAGTTGTTTACATTTTTTTAAAATAATTAATATATCATAGAGTTGTTTGTGGTGTTGCATGGTGGTATATGGAGCTGCCTGAAGTGTACATGAAGTAGACTCGCTCCCTCGGTCAATATCGAGGGAGCGAGGGTCTGTCCATATAAACTTCCCTCGTCCACTTCACGAAGTGGAACACACTTCAAAATTGCGGCAGGGATTACCCTGAGGGGAAGTGCTTAGGGAAGTTCGCAAGTGCGTGTCTAAAAGTGGACTGGAACGCAGCCCAGGTGGATGCTGCACATTGGTGGTGGTTGAGGAGATTTTCCCGTTCTATGTAAAGCGCTTTGAGTACCCATGCAGAAAAGCGCTATATAAATGTAACAAATTATTATTATTATAACACTTCATTTTTTTTGGTCCTTGTTACATATGTAACTTACTACAGTTATACTATTACAGTAAGTTATGCATAATTGCACGCAACTATCCCTAAACCAAACCCTAACCCTATAGTAAGTACATGTTCATAAAAAAAGTTAATGGATATATTATGCATCAAATATGAATGCAGGATTTAAATATATGATGAGATTAGGTTTCTTTTAACTTCATTCTGAATACTCAGAGAATCCCAAAAATGTTTTATCAACACTAGATCTTTTGAAGAATGTTTTTAACCAAACCTCCCCTTTACTTTCTATGTGTATTTTTTTTTTCATACAACGGAAGTCAACGGGAACTAGAACGGTTTGGTTAACATTCTTCAAAATACAGTGCCTTGCGAAAGTATTCATACCCCTTCATTTTCTCCCCCCCATTTTATGTCATTGTCCTGCTGGAAGATGAACCTTCTCCCGTGTCTGAGGTTCTGAATGCTCCGGACTAGGTTTTCTGAGGTTCATCAGACCAG